CCAAGTCACGGCGTTAAGCGCACAGTGAAAGTCCCAGGCTCAGATCACACCTGCAGCAGAGGAGTCGAGGAAGACACTTCCCCTTGACGCAACCTCACAGTTAGTTTAGAGGTGGACGCGGCGGTTTCGCACCAAACATAATGGAACTCTGAGTGCATATTAACAATTACCCGGCTTTGACGGGGATTCTAGGCGTAGTGTCCACGTTGTCGTGCTTCTTTTGGTTATTGTGAATGTGATGTCCTCAAACCTCAGTGTAACCTTTGAATACGTTGTTTTGCGGACAAATAGCAATGTGTTGTGCGCTGGGGGCATTGTTCCTCGGTATCCCAGTCTTCCGTAGTGACTCCTTCTCATTAGCCCGATGTGTTCTTTCGACGCCTAAGCTTGCAGTTCGCTCTTCCTCTCTCGAGGCAAACCGCGATACATGAATATACCATGCACGAGCTCCTAGGGGTGCCTAGGTCGATTCTCAGGCCTTTGACTGAGGCTCCTGAAGTGTTCTTTTCTCTCGCGCATCCCTTCGAAGAGAATGCCACCCTGGGAAAGCCTGGGTCACTATCAAAAGTGCGTGCCGGAGTTATCCTCGTCTACGGGTAACCGCCTTCCTGGTAGGGTTCTTTAGGACATCATTTGTCTGTGTATCCAAGCCGAACCATCTGCGTCAGTAGCTAACCGTGCAACTGGCACATTTGTCCTTTATCGAGTTTTCCTTATTTCGCCTGTAATCATGTAAATAAGTTCTAAAGTCAAATTTTTATCTAGGCATGTCGTCAGTTCCTTCTGTTGGGCCAGGGCGATTTCATCCAGCGGCTAATGGACCTACTGCAGTAAGTTGGCTTTTCTAAATGAATGCATTACTTACTCGTATTATGTTAATAAGAACACCCTTTGGGCCTTCCGTGTGTTTTTTTGACTACATGAAGTTTTTTACCAGGTTTTCTTTTTAAAATCTTTCAAGGGCTCTTCACCAGTCGAGTTAAGTTAGATGACCCTAATCAATCAGTGGCCCTAAACTAAACATTATGATGCAGCCGTCGTTAGTTAGCACCATTGGAGGCTCGGGCTGTAAGGGTGGCCTCGTTTCAAGTTCATCAACCGATCTGGAAATATAAATGCGTCGAAAACGTTTTCTTTGTCTCTTCCTTGGCGCACAGCCACGAGAACGGCGTCGCTACTCAGTTCCGACAGACCACCACTCCTGGGGGCTAAAGCGCAAATTCTAGATGGCTAAATTGTGTAATTGAGATGTCGCCCCAATCGACCGTCCACAATATCCGACGAGACCAGCAACAGAGTCTGTTCAATGGAGATTAATGCAAACGCCTCTCACAGGCCCTTACGACAACAAATTATCAAAGCTCTATGCCAGACGTTCTGTGCTAAAGCACTAGGCGCTGGCTTACTCCCAATTTAAATCTACAAACACGAGAACCCACAGTTTGTAGAATCACCTCACTGTTCCACCGGATGTGGTCACAAGGGCGGGTATCTCAGTACTTCAAGAACGCCACCATCGAGCTTCATTGGAAGGCGCCCTCTCTGTATAATCATCTCCCCCAATCAACCTCACAGGCAAAATCTTCGTCCGAGCCCCCCGCTCAGTCGTCTAAAGCTTTGCCTAGAATAAAAGCGTTTCCCTAAAAATCAATGTGGATTTCGAAGGAATTTCGGAACTTTTGGCATGATATTCGCTTCCCTTGAGGAGCCGACTCTACAGCGCCCTCCTTGGAGATTTCTCCGCGAATTTATGCATATTTCATGAGTTATGTCACCTTATGTGCAACTTCTTTCGTTATTTCCTTTTTTTGTCTTTTCTAAATACGGTTTACAACCGCAAACTTTTTTTGGATTAACTCCTAGATGGTCATTGTCATCTCAATAAACATGACTCTTTGAAACTGTAAGGTGAATATGATGGGAATAATGGCCCAGAGGCCTCGAGCTATTACTAATAATGTGTTAGTACGCATTTGCTCCGTTTCCACTTACCCGAGTTTGACGCATAACTACAGTTGGGTGAGACGACGTTGTACGCAGCATAGTAATCTGGTAACTTGAACTTCGGGAGTGCTACTGACTGTTTTTTTAAAAGGCGTATTTCACAGTTGTCCGGTTGGGAAGAGCTTTATCTTACCAGCTGTATAGTTTTTACTGAGCAGATACAGTGTTTTATCATCAGGAAGTTTGCAGCTTGAGGTAACTGAAGCAAGACCTCGATTAGCATTTCGTTCAAGTTGGCAGGCCTACTTTTTTGTATATGGGTGCACATTGTTGTGCGTAATCTTAACCCCACACGGTGGAGGGTTTTTTGCGCAACCCCTGATGTTTTTTGTTAACTCCTATGTGTTAACGCTTTGCTATTATTCTTACCTCGTGCTCCTCAGATTTTTTCGATTTCCCACATCCCTCCCTGGCACCGTACTACCTCACACAGCCTTGGCGATTGTTTAAGTCGTGCCTGTAATAATGAAGATAACTCTTATGAGGATTCCGGTGTTTACGTTGTCAATTTGATAGCCCTCAGAAGTTTAGTCGTATAATTCTAACATGTCCTTACCACTGAGTTGGTCCATAGTGAGATTTGTGCAAACAGAAACCTCACGCTGCTCTCACCGGGAGTCGCAAACAAACCTAAGGAATTTTACCTCACGAGGGCTGTGCATTTTTTCTGTCACCTGCATCGACGTAGCCCGAATGCATCCACCGTGGCTCTCGCTCTCTCCTCCCCCCACCACACACACACACTGCTGTTCTTCATACGTGCTTCCCTGCATCCGCTTTAGAACGGAGCTCGACGCACCCGCAACCGCAATTCATCGTCATCATCTCAGCGAGATTCTGGAGTCGGCAATCCGCGGCACAAATGCCCAGTACGAGGCGCCGGAAATTCTGCAGCGTCTTGACGTCCAGCTTTTGGAACTTTCTGACAGTAAGTGGCCAGTGGCTCTTCACTCCAAACGACCGGGGAGTTAACTGCTTAAAGCTCTCTTATTATCAGTTTCGCCGAATCACAGCCGCTGCAGTTGTATTGGTCCTTTGCACTTTTGTAGGAATGCTGTAGATCATGAAACTGATGAAGGAGGGGTGTTTTTTTCTGAAAAAAACTCGTTATACGGGTGGGGGAGTTGGCCTATCTGCGTATGTCGTTTCCTTTACCATGTGTGATATTCCTGTCTTAGGCTACCCTGGATATGTGTTATGCATACGGTCAGGTATAGGTTTGGGCTGCTTTTACTGTGTTTCAGTCGTTCCGGTAACACTTATACGGCGTTAGAGAGCCCTTGGCTCAGAACACAACTTTTGGATCCCAAGTTATATAATTATTTGTCCAAAGTCATTCTTAAGGATCAAATACTCCAAACACTATGGCTTTGCGCTATCAGAAATTAAATACGTTTTCCAGAATTTTCTTACACACCGACCTTCTAAAACTACGGCAGGTCATTTCTAAACATAATTTAACTTATTTAGCTAGCCTCGGTAAGCATCATGTAGTTGGACTAGATGCATTTACTTCTTGATTAAACTACTTTATCTTTGAGAAGTAGAAGACAACTTGATCGCTGGCACAATATGTTTATTCGCCTGACGTTTCGAAATCCGTCGCGGATTCATCATC